CCAGATTCTTAGTTTAGTTTCCACTTATAAGTGAGAACATGTGGAAATTGGTTTTCTGTTCTTGTGTTAGTTCACATAGGATAATGTTCTCCAATTCCAACCAAGTTGCTGCAGTAGACATTATTTCATTCTTTTTTAATGGCTGCATAATGTTCCATGAGATACACACACACACACACACACACACACACACACCACATTTTATCATTTCATTATCCACTGATCAATTGTTAGGTATTTAGGCTGATTCCACATATTTGCAATTGGGAATTGTGCTACGATAAACATCCAAGTGCAGGTATCTTTTTTATATAATGAGCTTTCTTCTCTTTCTTTGGGTAGATACTTATTGGTGAGACTTCCAAGAGGTTGTACTAATTTGCACCGCCACTAGCTGTCTATAAGTTTTCCCTTTTCACTGCATTTGCACCGGCATCTATTGTTTTTTAAGTTTTGAGTAATGGCCATTCTGACTGGTGTTACGGTGGTATCTCATTGTGGTTTTAATTTACACTTCCCTGAAGATGAGTGATGCTGAGCATTTTTTCATATGTTTCTTGGCCATTTGTATATCTTCTTTTGAGAAATGTCTGTTCATGTCATTCGCCCTCATATTAATGTGGAGTTATTTACTTTTTTTGAATTGGAGTCTCACTGTCACCTAGACTGGAGTGCAGTGCACGCTGCCGGCCACCACAGCCTCTACTTGCTGGGCTCCAGTGATCCTTCTGCCTCAGCCTCCCAAGTAGCCAGAACGACAGGCACGCGCTACCACACCCAGCTCATTTTTGGTTTATTGTAGAGAAGAGATCTCGCCAAGTTTCCCGCATGGGTCTCGATCCAGCAGGTTCAGGCCATCCACTCGCCTCGGCCTCCCAAAGTGCTGGGATTACAGGCTGAGCTACTGAACCTGTACGGCTTATTTACTTTTTTCTTGTGATTTGTTTGAGTTATTTGTAGATTCTGGATATTAGTCTTTTTCCAGATGTATAGTTTGTGAATCTCTTCGCCTATTCTGTAAGTTGCCTATTTGTTCTGTTGATTATTTCTTTTGCTGTGTAAAAGGTTTTTGTTTAATTAAGTCTCACTTATTTGTTTTTGTTGCATTTGCTTCTGGGGTTTTAACCACAAATTCTTTGCCTAGACCAATGCCAAGAGGAATTTTCCCTAGGGTTTCTTCTGGGATATATGCATGGTTTTGGGTCTGATATTTATGTCTTTAATCCATTTTGACTCTGCAATTTTTAAACCATGGTTAGTACTGCCTCCATGACTCATTTTCTATATTCTGGACAAAAGTAGATAACATGAAGAGTAAACAAATTTATTTCAAAAATATTAGAGTCCCTTCTATGTGTCCCATGCCTAAATTTAGGAAATTGTATCAAAGTTTTAAAGTGAAGGGTAGTCTAATTTAATGTTCCTTAAACTTTGTAATTCTGCAGTCAAAAAATGTGGTCAATGCTTTGTTATAGATAGAATGTGTGTGATCCCCTATCCACCAAATTCCTATGTTAAAAATCTAAACCAGGCTCGGTGGCTCAGCCTGTCATCCCGTGCCTTTGCGAGGCTGAGGTGAGTGGATGGCCTGAGCCCGCGGGTTCGAGACCCGCCTGGGCAACTTGGCAAGACCTCATCTCTACAATAAATAAAAAAACATTAGCCAGGCATGGTAGCGCATGCCTGTAGTTCCAGCTACTTGGAAGGCTGAGGCAGAAAGATGGCCAGAGCCCAGCAGGTCGAGGCTGCAGTGGCAAGGAGCGTGCCACTGCACTCCACTCTGGGTGACAGAGTGAGACTCCAACTCAAAAAATAAAAAATAAATAAAAATCACTTTCAAACATTCTGGCATATGGAGTAAAAGTAATTTTTCCTTATTAGTACGTAATCCAAGTGTCTTATTTCCTCACTTAAATTTGCATAAATGGATCCTGAATATACAACTTTCCTTATAATGAATACTGTATTTTCATGCAAATACCTAGAATTAATGTTCCAATTAATTTTTTTCTCCACTAGTAGCCAAATACTATAAATAAAACATTTGTGGCACCTTCAACTTGTTGAACCATACACCATATAACTAAGATAATTATTGATTTTATGCATATTTTTATCAGGTTTTTAAAAGTCAAATGTATCAAAGCCACATCTGGCTTGAAACCAACCATACATTTAATACTCAATTATTTTTATTAAATAAAAGTAAATATAATATTAACAAGTACAACTCTAAGAAATTAGAATATCTTAAGAAACAAATTATATATGAAAATGCTAGCACCAAACCTTCCAACTGCATAAATAACTTGATAATTTAATGAAAAAAAGCAAGAGTATAAAAAAACTGTTTCAAATAAATGTAATATTTAAAATCTATGAATAACAATTCAGTGTCCTAATACGTAAGATGATATTCTTTTATAGCTATGACATCATTCAAAAATTAAAGTCTTGGCAATGCCTACCATTGTGGTCTACCACTTCACTATGTAAATTTCAACAATTTTTGTATGCTAAAGAGCAATCAAATGGTAAATCCGGCAACAAAGACTAAATGTATCTCAAAATCTTTTCAAAAGCCAGTTTAATTCTGACTGTAGGATGTCCCTGATTTAGAAACACCCCAAGAATCAGGGCGATGTAGAGACCGGTCTGAATGGGACTCTGGAGCTATTGCAGGTCAACTGAGATTTGATCTGGGGTTTTCTTTAGACTCCTTGCCAAACTAAGTCTGGATTCATAGGCCCAAAGACAAATCAGAACCAGATTGGCCTTGAAGGGGCTGGAGCTTTTCCAAATGAATTAAAAAATCTGCTGAACATTTATCTATTTTAGTATGAACCTTTAATTTCCTGGCCTTGCAAAACAGATGATCTAGGTTTCTATCAGGTTTCTTTTGTTGCAAATTTTCTTTAAACGTCTAGGAGCATTATCACCCTGTTCCATAATAATTTCTACCTCATAAAAAGCAAAAATACTAAAATTATAAAATTAAAAGTCAGTAATACACAAAGAATAAACTAGAACATCAGGAAATAATTTCCTGAAAATCCTCTAAACCTAGTGGGAAAAGTGAGCCAAAATGAGTGCCAAGTTCTCCTGCAAGGCATTAGGCACGAATACCACTTTGAATTTTACTGTGCAACCCTCAAAGTCCCTGGAATCACTACCTGGCAAACTAAATTCCCATTCCATTGCAAAGCAACACTGTCTACTCCTTTATATGTCCTGATAGACCGTGTGTATCGTCCCAGACAGCAGAGTATTTTTTTTTATAAAGCAGGATTTATTGAGAAGACAGAAAAGCTCCCACAGTGGGAGGGGACCCGAGGGGTTGCCCGACAGTATTTTAAGTCTTTCTATTCTTTAAGCTAAAGGGTAACATTTCAACCTAACGCTCCAGTCAATAAGATACTATACTGGTCAGAATTTTAGGCTTTTTTTCTTTCTAAATACACGTAAAGGCCAGCTAACTCTTAACTGTTGCTTGCATTCGGATTCCCGGTCTGAGGACTCTTAGGAACAATCAGTGGGACGTAGAGTGGAGTAAAGGATGGGGGCAGTATGGCTTTATACCTGGAAAAGTAGAGGACGAGCTAAAGGTGGTGGAACAGAGGCGCAGGGACTCGGGAAAGTGAAGGTCAGGAGATGAGTGCATTGTTAAAGCGAGACAGGGAGAAGGGATGCCTGGGAAAAGAGTGAAGAATTCTACCTCGCGGGAAGCAAGATAGGAAGTGCAGGTTAAGCGAGCGCGCAGGTGGGAAGAGGCGTTGGCTTTCCCTGGGATGGGAAGAGTTAGGGTGAGAATTAGAAGTAAGAAGCAAGACTCTTGGCAGCAAGCCTGTTCGAATAAAAGGAGGTAGGGGAACACCAAGGCACCGTGGGGAACGCGGCTCACACACGACGAGCCCCCGCTGGGGAGGAGACGAAGCCCCAGAAGGAAATGGCTCTGCTGGCGCAGCGGCGAGCGCTGCCAGTCCCCGCGCGCGCTCCCAGGGCTGCGCCCTCGGAGGTTACCTTTGAGCTGGGGCAAGGGGTGCAGCTCCGCCTGGCTGCCCTGGCTGCGGAACTGCGACGAGCCCTGGGAGCGCTTCTGCCTCTGCGCCTTGCGCACCGATTTCCGGGTGAAGC